GGATCAGGGGTGGGGGTATTCAGGGGGTTGGGAGTATACAGAGTGATAGCTAAGGGGTGTGGGGTTTCTTTTTGAGGTGATGAGATGTTCTGAAATTGATGATGGTGGTAGTGGTTGCACTAAATAGATGAAAAACTATTGAATTATACTTTACAAATGGGTAAATTGTCTGCCATGTAAATTATATCTCAATTAAAAAGTAACTCTAGGCTGGGCACAGTGGCTCACGCCTGTAATCCCAGCACTTTGGGAGGCCAAAGTGGGCAATTACCCAAGGTCAGGAGTTCGAGACCAGCCTGGCCAACATGGTGAAAACCTGTCTCTACTAAAAATACAAAAATTAGCCAGGCGTGCTGACACATGCCTGTAATCCCAGCTACTCGGGAGGCTGAGGCAGGAAAATTGCTTGAGCCCAGGAGACAGAGATTGTAGTGAGCCAAGATCATGCCACTGCACTCCAGCCTGGCCAACAGAGAGAGACTCTGTCTCAAAAAAAATAAATAAGTAACTCTAGTGGACAAAAAAAGTTCAGTAGGGAAAGGATAAACTTTTCAATAAATGGTGTTGGGATAATTGTGTTCCATAGGAAAAAAGGAAAGACATCCTTAATCCCTGGCAACCACTGCTATATCTGGAAATAGAACTGATTTTTGTATGTTGATTTTATATCCTAAAGCCTTGCTGAAACTCACTGGTTCCACGAGTTTTTGTTTTGTTTTTTTGGGAGATTCCTTGGGATTTTCTATACTGATCATCATGTCATCTGCAAATAGGGATAATTACATTTCTTTCTTTCAGTCTGTATACCTTCATCTCCTTGTTGTACTGGCCTGGACGTGCAGTATTGTTTTATATAAGAATGGTGAAGGTGGCTCACTCCTATAATCCCAGCCCTTTGGGAGGCCTAGATGGGCGGATCACGAGGTCAGGAGATTGAGACCATCTTGGCTAACGCGGTGAAACTCCATCTCTACTAAAAATACAAAAATTAGCCAGGCATGGTGGCGGGCGCCTGTAGTCCCAGCTACTCGGCGGCTGAGGCGGAAGAATGGCGTGAACCCGGGAGGCGGAGCTTGCAGTGAGCCGAGATCCGCGCCACTGGCACCTCCAGCCTGGGGCGGAACCAGAGCGAGAACTCCATCTCAAAAAAAAAAAAAAAATGGTGAAAGCACACACATTTGCCTTGTTTTGGTCTCTGCGGCAGAAGGCATCAGTGTTTCCCCACTAACCTATGATGTTAGGGTGAGGTTTTTTGTAGATGTCCTTATGGGTCTGAGGAAGTTCCATTCTACTCCATTGCTGGCTCACAATTCATAAAAATCAACTCTAGTCTCTAGGTAGGACAGCCCTGGTTTTTAAACTTTTACTGTTGTTGTTTTTTTTTTTTGAGCTTTTTCTTTCTTCTTTCTTTTTATTGAGACAGGGTTTATTGCTGTTACCCAGGCTGGAGTGGAGTGGTGCGGTCACGGATTCACTGCAGCCTTGACCCCCCGCCTCAAGCGATCCTCCTACCCTCAGCATCTCAAGTAGCTGGGACCACAAGCATGTGCCCACCATGCCCAGGCTATTTTTTTCATTTTTTTTTTGTTTGAGACAGAGTCTCATTCTGTTGCCCAGGCTGGAGTGCAATGGTGCGATCTTGGCTCCACTGCAACCTCTGCCTTCCTGCGTTCAACGCAACTCTCCTGCCTCGGCCTAAAAAAATGGCCGCCATCATGCCCGGCTAATTTTTTGTATTTTAGTAGAGATGGGTTTTGCCATGTTGGGAAGGCTGTGCTCCGAACTCCCTGACCTCAGGTGATCCACCCGCCTTAGCCTCCCAAAGTGCTGGGATTACAGGTGTGAGCCACTGCACCTGGCCTAAACTTTAACTTTGAAATTGCAAAAATAGTGGAGAGGTTGCATGTACTCATTACTCAAGGTCCCTCAATTCCCCAATGGTGACATCTTATATATATGACTACTGATTGACACAGTATAACTAAGTAGACTACAATGATCTGATCTCAGATTAAT